TAGGAATTCCAGAATGAGAAGAGACAGAAAAAGGGGCAGAAGGTATATGTGAAGAAATAATGGCTGAAAATTTTCTAATCTGAGGAAGAAAACAGACATTTAGATCCAGGAAGCACGTATACTTTGTAACAAGAAGAACCCAAAAGACCCACACCAAGATATATTGTAGTTAAGATGGCAAAAGTAAGAATAAAGATAATATTGAAGGCAGCAAGAGTGAAACAAGTCACATAATACAAGGGAAACACCACAAGGCTATCAGTTGATTTCTCAGAAGCAAATTTAGAGGCCAGAGGGAGTGACAGAAAATACTTAAAGTACTGAAAGAAAGGAACATAAAACCTAAAATGCTATATCTAGCAAGGTTATCATTCAGAATGGAAGGAGCAATAAAGACTTTCCCAGACAAGCAAAAACTTGAAGCTCACCATCATTAAATCAGCTTTACAAAAACTGTTAAAGGTTCTTCTTTACGAAAAAAGAAAAGACCAAATCAGAAATATTATAATATAGGAAAGAAAAGAAGGTCTCACCAGTAAAGAAAAAAATACAATAAATACAGTGAATCAAGTACTTAAAAAACTAATATGAAGGTTAAAAGACAAAAGTAACAAAATTAACTATAATTACAATAAACAGTAGGAGGCACCCCAAACTGAAAGATGGAAAACAAGACAACAAAAGCTAAAGAGTAGAGTGAGAGTAAAAATGTAATGCTTTAAAGTGTGTTGTAACTTAAATGCCTATCATCTTACAATAAACTGCTATATTAGAGATGGATATGCTCGTATATGAACCTCATGGTAACTACAAACCAAAAACCTACAAAAATATCCAAAAAATAAAGAGAAAGGAACGCAATCAAATCACAAAAGAAAACCAACAAATCAAAAGTAAGGAGATCAAGAGAAGAAACAAAGAAGAACAATAACAAAGAAAAAACAGAATGGCAACAGGCACATACCTATCAATAATTACTTCAAATGTAACTAAATGCTTCAGTCAAAAGACATAGAGTGACAGAATGGACAAAAAAAAAAAACCTATATGCTACTTTCAAAAGACTCATTTTAGATACACATAGACTGAGAGAATGGATGGCAAAATGATATTCCACACAAATAGAAAGGAAAAGAAAGCTGGGGTAGGAATACTCATATCAGACAAAATAAACTTTAAAACAAAGAATGTAAGAAGAGACAAAGAAGGACATTACATAATGACAAAGGGATTAATCCAAGAATAAGATACAATTGTCTAAGTAGCTACATGCCCCACATAGGAGCCCCCAAGTATATAAAGCAAATATTAATGGACATAAAGGCAGAAAGTAATAATATAATAGTTGGGGACTTTAATAGTCCTCTTACCTCAATAGATAGATAATCCAAACAGAAAATTAATAAGGAAATAAATGCCTTAAATGTCAATTAGACCAGATCAACTTAATTTTTTAATTTTTAGAACATATCACCCAAAAACTGAAAATTACACATTTTTCTCAAGTGCACATGGCACATTTTTCAGGATACACTACATATTAGGTCACAATACCAGCCTTAATAAATTCAAGATGATTAAAATTAAATTAATCTCATTTTCTGAATGTAATGGCACAAAACCATCAACTACAGGAAGAAAACTGAAAAAGAAAACCCCACAAATATGTGGAGATTACACAACATGCTACTAAACAACCAATGGGTTGAAGAGGAAATCAAAAAATACTTTGACAAAATAAAATGAAAACAAAACTTTTTGGAGATGCAGCAAAAACAGCTATAAGAGGAAAGTTCATAGCTATACAGGTGTACCTCAAGAAGCAAGAAAAATCCCAAATAAACAATCTAACTTAACAGCAAAAAGAATTAGCAAAAGAGCCCTGGCTGGTGTGGCTCAATGGGTTGAGTGCTGACCTGTGAAATGAAGGGTCCACTGGTTCAGTTCCCAGTCAGGGCACATGCTTGTGTTGTGGGCCTCAAGCCCACATGTTATGTTGAGGTCCCCAGTAGGGGGCACACAAGAAGCAACCACACATTGATGTTTCTCTCCCTCTCTCCCTCCATTCCCCATTCCCTGCAAATAAATTAATAAAAACCTTTTTAAAAAAAGAATTAGCAAAAGAAATACAAACAAAACCCAATGTAAGTAGAAGAAAGTAGATAATGAAGATCTGAGCAGAAATAGAGACTAGGGGGGGAAACAGAAAAGATAAAATGAAATTAAGAGCTTTGGAAAAAAGTAAAATTGACAAACTAGCCAGAATTGCCAAGAAAAGAATAGAGCCCAAATAAGTAAAATCAGATGAAAGAGATTACAACTGACACCACAGACATACAAAGGATCACTAAAGAATACTATGAGTAATGACATGTCAACAAATTTGACAATCTAGAAAGAACTGATAAATTTCTAGAAATGTACATTTCTAGACTAAACCAGAAAGACTAAACCAGAAAGAAATGGGGAATCTGGGCAGACCAACACTTACTAATGCAACAAAGCAGAAAAAAAAAGAAACCTCCCAATAAGCAAAAGCCCAGGACCACACAGCTTTAAAGGTGAATACTACCAAACATTTAAAGAAAAATTAATACATATATTTTTCAAATTATGTCAGAAAGTTGAAGAGGAAGGAATGCTTCCAAACTCACTTTATGAGCTAGTATTACCCTGATACCAAAACCAGACAAAGACAATACACCAATAAAGAATTACAGGCCAACATCCCTGAGGAACGTAATGCAAAAATTTTCAATAAAATACTACTAAATCAAATTCAACAATACATTAAAAAGTTATACATTGAAATGAAGTGTGATTTATACCAGGGATGCAAGTGTGGTTCCACGTCTACATAACAATGTGATTCCTGACATCAACAAAACCAAGTATCAAAATCATATGATCATCTCAATAGATGCATGAAAAGCATCTGATGAAATTCAACATCCATTTATGATTTTTAAAAACAAGGTATATAAGAAACATAAATCAACATAATAAAGGCTATAAACAACAAGCCCACAGCTAACATCATACTCAATGATAAAAAGCTGAAAGTTTTTCCTCTAAGATAAGGAACACCATAAGGTTGACAGTTCTCACTACTATTATTCCATATAGTATTGGAAGTCGTAGCCACAACAACCGGACAAGAAAAAGAAATAAAATTCATCTGATTGGAAAGTAAGAAGTAAAACTGTCATTATTATAGATAACATGATACTATATATATAACTCTAGAGAATCCACCAGAAAATTAATAGACAATAAATGAATTCAGTAAAGTAACAGCACACAAAATTAATATACAGAAATCCATCGAGTTTCCACACACTAATGACACATGAACAGAAAGAGAAATTAAGGAAATTCTATTTATAGTGGCTTCAAAAAAACCCAAAATACCTAGGATAAATTTAACCAAAGAGGTGAAAGACTTATACTCTGAAAACTCTAAGACATGGAAGAAATTGAAGAGGACAAATAAATGGAAGGATATATTGTGGTCATGGATTGGAAGAAATAATGTTGTTAAAATGACCATATTACCCAAATAAATAAACAAATTTAATGTATCTATCTCAAAATACCAATGGTATTCTCAGAGCTAGAACAAATCTCAAAATTTACATGAAATCACAAAACGAATAGCAAAAACAGTCTTGAGAAAGAAGAACCAAGTTGGAGGTATCACATGCCCTGATTTTGAACTATACTACAAAGCCATAATAATCAAAACAGTATGGTACTGGCACAAAAACAGACACACAGATCAATGGAATAGACTAGAGAGCCCAGAAAGACACCCTTAGTTATATGGTCAATTAATCTATGACAAAGGAAGCAGGAGTATACAATGGAGCCCTGGCTGGTGTGGCTCAGTGGGTTGAGTGCTGGCCTGCAAACCAAAGGGTTGCTGGTTTGATTCCCAGTCAGGTCACATGCCTGGGTTGTGGGCCAGGTCCCCAGTAGGAAGTGCGAGAGAGGCAACAACACTTTGAAGTTTCTCTCCCTCTCTTTCTTCCTCTTTTCCCCTCTCCAAAAATAAAGTCTTTTTTAAAACAATAAATAAAAGGGGTGCCTCTCCTTAAAAAAAATTTTTTTTTTCAAAAAAGAGTATACACTGGAGAAGTGACAGTTTTTTCTACAAGTGGTGGTGTGAAAGCTAGACTGGTATATATTTTTTAAAAAATGAAAGTGGACTGATCTCTTATATGATATGCCAAAATAAATTCAAAATGGATTAAAGACCTAACATAAGACCAGAAACTGTAAAACTCGTTGAAGAAAAAATAGGTAGTAAACTATTTGACATCAGTCTTAGTAATTTAAGCATATGTCCCCTCAAGCGAGGTAAGCAAAAGCAAAAGTTAACAGATGGGACTTCATAAAATTAAAAAGCTTCTGCACAGTGAAGAAAACAAAACAAAAAGGCAACCTACTGAATGGGAAATTATATTTGCAAATGATATATCCAGTGAAGGATTTATAGCCAAAATATAGAATTCATACAATTCAATAACAAAAAATAATCCAGTTAATAAGTAGGCAGAGGACACGAGCAGACAGTTTTCAAAAAAAGACAGATGACCAACAGAAACACAAAAAATGCTCAACATCACTAATCACCAGGGAAGTGCAAATCAAAACCACAATGAGATAGCACCTCACACCTGTCAGAATGACTATTATCCAAAGGTCAACAAACAAGTGTTGGTGAGGATGTAGAGAAAAGGGAACCCTTATGCACTGTTGGTGGAATGGAGGTTGATGCAGCCACTGCTGGAAAACAGGATGGAGATACCTCAAAAAACTAAAAATAGAACTGCCATATAATACAGCAATTCCATTCTGTTTATCCAAAGAAAGTGAAAACACTAATTTGAAAAGATATATGCACCCCTGTGTTCACTGCAATATTAATTACAAAACTAAGATACGGAAGCAATCTAGGTGTCCATCGATAGATAAATGGATAAAGAAAATGAAATGCATTCTAAAGTGTTGAGTTCAGTTCAAGGCAGCTTCCCTGTTCTGTTAATTAAACTTTGAGGCATTGAAACACAGGCTAGGGGAGATGAACGATAGAAAGCACTACTCTATTCCAATATCCGGCCAAGATGAAGGTGTAGGAAAACATGCTTCGCCTCTGCGCACAACTACAGCAAAAATTACAACTAAACTACAAAACACATGTCACCCAAATTCCTCAGAAAACCAAGCTGTATGATAGTCCAACAACCAAAGATTTAAAGAAGCCACATTCATCCAGATGGATAGAAGGGGCAGACATGTGGAGGTACGGAGATGCATGGAGAGATGGTGGAACAGGTGGTCCTACATCCATGTGTGGTGGATAAATATCAGGAGGGACACCTTGGGAGTGAGCCCTCCCAGCCCCAGATCAGACCACCTAGCCCAGGGTTCCAGTGCCAAGAAGATAAGTCTCCATAAATTCTGCCTACAAAAACCAGTGGCAGTTGGAACAGTGGAAGAAACTGCAAGATTCTCAAGAGACTCCTCTTTAACGGCATGCAATGGACTTAGGACTCACACAGACTCACACCCTCTGGGATTCATCACCAGGGCAGCAGCTGCAAGGGCATACGAAGAGAAGGGGAGAAAGCGAAGTGACTGGCAACGGGGTAAGTGGTGGGGAGACATCTTCCTCTCGGGTAGTCGCCAGAGGCCAGGAAGCTAGCACTGTCCCCTCTCTGAGCCCTCCTCCACACCGGTCCACAAAGCGGTGAAATAGGTCCCCTTGCCCTGGTGAGTACCTAAGACTGTGCCCCAGTGACTACCTAAGGCTCCACCCCCACACAATTTACAGGTGCTTATTCTACAGTCGGCCACACTACTAAGACAGGGAGTCAAAGCAGTTCTGCCTAATACACAGAAGCAAACAGAGGGAGGCCATCAACCTGAGAGGACAAAAAAATATGGCTCAAATGAAAGAACAGAACAAAACCCCAGAAAAAGAACTAAATGAAATGGAGATAACCAACCTATCAGATGCAGTTCAAAACACTGATCAGGATGCTCGAAAAACTCATTGGGTACTGCAACAGCATAAAAAAGACTCAGGCAGAAATGAAGGCTGCATTAAATGAATAAAGAAAAATCCACAGGGAACCAACAGTGGAGGGGAAATCAATGATTTGGAACATAAGAAAGAAACGAAGCATTCTATCAGAAGAGCAAAAAGAAAAAGGAATTAAAAAAAAAAACAGAATAAGGAGCCCCTGGGACATCTTCAAACATACCGACATCCAAATCATAGGGATGCCAGAAGAAGAGGAAGAGCAAGAAATAGGAATCTTATTTGAAAAACTAATGAAAGAAAACTTCCCTAATTTGGTGAAGGAAATAGACATGCAGGTCCAGGAAGCACAGCGAATCCCAAACAAGTTGAACCCAAAGAGGACTACTCCATGACACATCATAATTAAGATGCCAAAGGTTAAAGATAAAGAGGGAATCTTAAGAGCAGCCAGAGAAAAGTAGACAGTTGCCTACAAAGGAGTCCCCATAAGATTGTCAGCTGATTTCTCAAACTTTGCAGGCTAGAAGGGACTGGCAAGAAGTGTTCAAAGTGATGAAAAGCAAGGACCTACAGCCTAGATTACTCTATCCAGCTATCACTTAGAATGGAAGGGCAGATAAAGTGCTTCCCAGACAAGTTAAAACTAAAGGAGTTCATCATCATTAAGCCCTTATTATATGAAATGTTAAAGGGAATTATATAAGAAAGAAGATCAAAACTATGAATATTAAAATGACAGCAAATGCACAGCTATCAACAGGTGAATCTAAGAAACAAACTAAGCAAACAACCAGAACAGAAACATAAACAGATATAGAAATCATTTGGAGGCTTATCAGCTGGGAGAGGGGAGTGGGAGAATGGGGGAAAAGGTGAAGGGATTAAGAAGTACAAATGGTAGGTACAAAATAAGCAGGGGGATGTTAAGAATAGTATAGGAAATGAGGAAGCCAAAGAACCTATATGCACAACCCATGGGCATGAACTAAGGGAGGAGATTGCTTGAGGGGATGTGGATACCAGGTGGAGGGGGGCAAATGGGGAAAATTGGGACAACTGTAATAGCATATTCAATAAAACATTTTAAAATTAAAGCATCGCTCTATTCATTTACCTCTCAGCCGGTGGGGGCGGGGGAAAGAAAAGGGTATATAAATATTCAATGGAATATTACTCGGCAATAAAAAAAATAAAATCTTGCCTTTTGGGACAACATGGATGGACCTAGAGGCTATTGTGTTTACTTATGTTTATATACCTAGAGGGTATTAAGTAAACCGAGACAAAGATAAATACTGTATGATTTCATTTATATGTGGAATCTAAAAGAAAAAACAAAAACAAATGATCAAACAAAACAAAAACAGCCTCATAGAAAGAGAGATCCACTTATGGTTGCCCAGGAGGGGAAGGGGAAGGGGAATGTAGTCAATAAGGCTGTGATAAGTGCGTATGGTGACAGAGGATTACTAGACTTAATGTGGTGATAATGTTGTAAGGAATAAAAATGTTGAGTCACTTTCTTGTACACCTGAAACTAGTATACTATTGTATATCGTCTATATTTAAAAAAAGAAAATAAATGACAAGGAACTAGAGGGAAATTTGGATATTCAAGAAGAAATGAAGAGCATCAGAAGTGACAATTTTCTGGGTAAGCATAAAAGTTTATTTTTCTCTTAATGTACTTAAAATACATATGACTATTTAAGCCAAAAGTTACAGCATAGTCTTCAGAGGTACTACAAGGCACATGTTTGTGCCCCTAAATTCATATGTTGAAACGTAACCCCCGCTGTGATGAAGTTTGGCAGTGAGACCTTTAGGAGGCGAGTGGGACGTGGGCTCACCACAGAGCAGGGCGCCCTCTGCCACTTCCGCTGTGTGAGGACAGCGAAGAGGCTTTCCATGGACCAGGAAGTGGGCCCTCACCAGACACTGATCCGTCGCTGCCTTCCTCTTGGACTTTCCAGCCTCCAGAACTGTGAGAGATAAATTTCTCAGAGTTGTTCATAAGCTACCCAGTTTATAGTATTGTTAGAGCAGCCCAAACAGACAAAGAAAAGGGGTTTATAAAATATATAAAGATATAATACGTGTGATAGCTATTACGCAAAGGACAGGGAGGAGCAGTCAATGGACTTACAAGCTTACAAGAGTTCCATAGTTTATGTAGTGTGATACAATATTAACTTTCAGTAGATTATAAAAGATAAGGATTGTTATTGTAATCCCTAGCACAGATGCTAAAGAGAATGCAAACCAGCACAGCTAAAAAGTCAATGGGTAATAAGTTAAAAAAGAATTATAAAAATAATCCAAAATAAGGCAGAAAAGAGAAAAAAGAAACAAAAATCAGAGGAAACAAACAAAACAAACAAAAATCAAATAACAAAGTACTGAACGACAGACCTAAATACAAAATCTCAGTAATTCCATTAAATGCTCCTGGACTGGAGGATTCCATTCCCCGGTGATGGTGACCCAGGGACAGATGCCTCCCGCTGTAAACTGCCACCACCGCCAGACACAGTATAAGAATCAAGGGTTTCCAAGGGTTGGAACCAGGAAGTGCAGAGCAGTGCGCCCTTATAGAAATGAAATGAGGTCGACGTACCCTGACAGTCACAGCTTCCCACCTAGAGAGCACCTGAGCCTCCAGCACCAGGAGAGCAAACCAGAGGGGGCCCCTGGGACCTTCCCCATGTTAGTGCTGCCGTCTAGGTCTGGGAATCCATCTGTCCTGGCTGAGCATGGAAGGTGGGCTACTCTGCCCGCCAGAGAACAATATCCTCCCTGAGCTGGGGATGCAGGGATATAAAGGTGCCTAGAATTCACAGGACAGACCACCAGCAAAGAAAGAGAGCTAGGGAGTGTTCCAGAAATCTGCAGGTGGCCCCCTCAAGTCTTCAGCTTACTGGCCAGTATGCATGTCAGTAAACCTAAGGCAAGAAAAGTAACTGCCGGAAAGGAGCAGGTGAAACACCTCCTGGCCTTTGCCCAGAGCTGAAGACAGCTCCTATTCTATCTGCCAGGGCCAAGAAAGCTTGTGATGTGTGGGCACCAGGGCGAGTGCTCAGAGGGATGTGGAGCCGATCAGGCAGGCAGAGCAGCCCTGGAGTAAGGCTGTTCTGGCCATTGTCCAGCATAGAAGCCTGAAAGGATCAAACTGCTCCCAGTAACTTAGCCACGATACAAAACAAAGGCAAAAGAGATGTGAGGAGTACAAATACAAGAAATTAAAGAAAGAGGGAAAAGAGCAACCAAATAAAGTAAAAGTCACAATGTTTGGCGTTCAATCAAAACTTGCCAAGTATGAGAAGAAGCCGGAAAATATAACCCATAATGAAGAAAAAGATCAATAGTAAAAACCGACCCCAAAATCAAACACACAACAGATTTAAAGGACAAGAACATTAAAAGAGAATATAAATATATTCTATATGTTCAAGAAGATGGAGGAAAGATTGAGAATGGTAGGTAGAAGTACGGAACATGTCAAAAGACAAAGGAACTAGACCGGCGGTGAGCCAAGGTGCAGCTTCCAGGAGGTGAGAACGTGTGGAGCAGGAGGAGGAAGGGAAGCCAAGTCTCACACCCACGTCATTCCAAACAGTCTTCCAGTAATGGAGTCAACCTCAGCTTTTCAATGTCTACTAATTCAGTTCTTCAGTCATACTAAGTGACATTTCAAGTGCTCAACAGCCGCACATGGCTAGGGGCCACCCTGTTGGGCATCCCAGATATAGAGTGAGGAGAGTAGTGACATTTACCTATGTTAAGGGCTTGTCAGCTATGATGAGAACTGCAAACAGAAGGAGCAGATCATATGCACCGCTCAGTGCAGAAAATTGGGCCATATGGAAGTTACAGGATCTCCAACGTAACCATTCTAGTAATCAGCTCTGTCCACCAGGTCACTAACAGGAGCCCAGGCATGTTTCTGTCCATAGGTGAAGTCACTGCAGCAACAGACACTGCATATGGCTTACAGCCCTCCCAGTATGTTGACGCATGTGCCAGGTGTCCCTGTGGGTACACTGGCTGGTGGCCTGAAATCTTAGAAAGACTTTCCTGGAGG